ACCCAAGATCTGCCTACTTTTATTACTCTGAGGTAGGGGGTGACACTTCTTTTGTCCAGTGTGTGTATGTACATGTACAATGAAGGAAAGATATAGTCTTGACGTCTAGTATTTTAACTTAGTATTTTAATTTAGTATTTCAAACTTTTAAACTTATAAACAATATACCGATTTATTGCCTTGAATACGACAATGAACTTTCTTCTCGTTTGCCCTTTGTACCAAGATCTTAGAATCCAATGGTTAGGGAACTTTTGCAATTTTATCGTGAGTAAGACGATTTTATTTATAAGATTAATGGGTAAAAAAGAAACTCCTGTGTTACGCAGAATTGCCTGATATTTGATAAATGCAGAAAAAGAAGACTAGAACTTACTACTACTGCATGTAGACATACATGTGTAGAGTTACTGCACTATAGTTTAAATGTATCATGCACTCATGTATTCTTCCACCTCAACCTAATCGTTTCATAAAATCATTTTCTAATCTATGAAGAGTATCAGATAATCAACATTCACCACATAATGTTACCGTCTGCTTTTCAGCCTACTTTCATTCCTAGGACTGCCATTCCTGTCACACCCGTGTAACAGGAAAGGAAGTCGCCTAGGAACCGTAGTCCGTTCACCATTACTTTGTAAAGGTGACATTCCTCCTATATACTAATCCCGATATTCCGACCAACCCTAACCTGTACTTATCATTTGGGAACCTAATCCTAGGACTACCATTCCTGTCACACAGGCCCTGATGATGCATTGCGGTAGATGTGTCTTGACTCACACATTAATTGTGTTTGTTCAGTTTTGCCATCCACATACTGATTTTCCACAGACTGATTTCTAATCCATCTGCTTTTCACTAAAAGTTGGTCGACATATCAATAACTATTTGCATTTAATCATCAACATACACCCTCTTATTGCTGTATACATTGGTCATTAAAGTTGATGAATTTAACAAAGTATCAGCAGGTAACTAGATGATGCCCTTAGGTAACCATAGCATATCCTCGAACTTCGGCATATTGCCAAAGTAGGTAACCCCAGGACATCTGTGCTACTGCCAAAGTCTTGATTATAAGAAATTTAAAAGAGTCCTGGTCTTCCGCAAAATCATTGAAAATATCATTAAAATTTACGTCGACCTTCTTGAATTTAATTAGAGTGATACACATTTAAATTTGCCCTTCTACCGTATGAGTTCATTTCTCCCTACTACATGCATCAAAGTAACAGTCAAGGAGAATCTTTTAGTACGGTCTCATTTTTGTTGAAGGGAATCAATCATTTAAAAACGTGCAGTGCAGTCGTACAGTTAGCTTAAAACTTGTGAAAATGGTTTAATGTAAAAGATTTACACATGATTTATAGTACGATAACACGCTGCATCAGTTCTTACACCACCGTCAAAACACATATAGTCTACACCACAGAGATGAAACCCTTAGCTAAAAGGCACTATAGTTTTCACTCATTTTTTGCAAGATGCAACACTTTTAGTTTAGCTGCATGTTATTACACGATGTGTTGTGCTGGCCCGTTGCGACTACAGAGCGCGCGGGATTTTGCGATATCAACAAAAGATGCCATTGTTTCTTTTAGCTAAAGAAAATATGAGCTGGGTAATGTTTGCAGGATACGCTTGATGTGCGCATTTGTATTCAAAGTAAAATTTGAATTTTCCTCACGTAGGAATGACATTCAATTCGTGTAACAGCTTGATACAATGGACACTAGTTTTGAGTTCACATCGTAAGATCAGAGTTATTGTATGGAGTGTTTTATGTATATACCAACAAATGCCTTTCGTAAAAAAATTGAATGGAGTCAACCATACATTGCACTGCCCCGACAGAGTGGATAATGTTAAGAACAAATTTCTCGATACTCACGGTAGATTATTAAAAAAAAATAGAAATAAAAAATCATAATTTTACAAAATTCATGATTGAATAATATAAACTTAATACAAAACATTATAATTGGTCAACGTTTCTTTTTATACTTAATTGATCATTGCTTGTAACCCTTTACCTTTGGATTTTATTAGTCAACATATTTGTATGGATTTAGACAAATATAATAATAATAATGTATTATTATTATTATTTAAATTTGAACGAGTGTTAATCTTACCCTTTAAATTTTCAAGTTGTTGGTTTCTGACCACTGCTTTTAATTATCAGAGACCATCTTTCATTTTTTTAGACATTTCATCATATCGAAATGGCGTAAAATGAAAAACCGCCATTACCAAAAGTGGGATTGATTCGATGTCTATCATTCCTCTATTTAAGATATTGGTCCAGAGAAGCCATACCTCTGTCCAAGATCCTAACGGAAGAATTCCTAACGTGCATCACTGATGAAGCATATTCCATTGATATTATCAGTAATAAGGTTGACTCGTTTTATTTTACACATTTTTAATTTTTTGTCAATACAAACTTTATTCAGCAAATGATTTAAATAGAACATCATTTTGCACAATAATAAAAGCTCATGGAGAGAAAAGTAAACATGGGGTTTATTCTAACTAAATTTACATTATAAAGCCTATTTAGACCTTTTTGAATTTTCTATAAAAGCAGGAAAAAAACATTGGGGAAGTTATCATGAAAAGGTGTTTATTTACGTAACTGCTCTTGTTTAAACCTATCATAGTCGATCTCACAAGCAAAGCGGAAGAGTAATACGATATATTAAAGAACGAGACTGCATGAGTGGCAGTTCAGTTAAAATTTTGGGTATATAAATCGTGGCCTACCCGCATCTAGGGTGACCAGAATGCTGATGATGTCGATAACAGAGGTTTCCACGATTCAAGAAAAAGGTTACAGGTTGTAACATAACCTGCAACCTTTAGACATTATTGTGGGAAGTAGTACCAATGTGTAAAGTCTTTTGATTTTAACCTAACCTTAAGTCAGTTTTGCGAAGAAATAATACAAGATTCGTATCAAGCACTGTAATTATCTTTTTGCAGTAGAGTTTGGATGTGCGTATGTGTGTGGAATTGAGTATATATTTTTATTATATTATTTTTTTTTTTTTTTGTATTTGATGAGAAATAAATAGAATATTAATTCATTAAAGGAAAAAGATTTAACAGAAAAATAATGTTGCACTAACGTTGAATCAGCTTAACAAAGACTGTCCAATCATAAAGTTCGATGGGTGAAGAGGGAATTCCCCACAGCTGTTAGCGAACAAAAGATTTGTAAACGCACGCGCTCTCTAAGTTAATTCAACATGAACAGGGGTGGGGGGAGAAAAAACGCACCTGAGGATTTGTTATAATTGTGTGTCAGTATAACTTATTTTTAATACATGGATTTTACATGTAGAAGTCTGCATATATACATTTTTGAGACACCACACTCTCTCTTTTCGCTGGTGCCGACCCTTAAATAAATCACAATGTTCATATTGACGGTGACTGAAGGAAAGAAAAAACGATCCGCTGAACCTGGAGGGGAGGGGTAAGGGTAACGCTTAAAGATTAATTTTGGTCAGACAACGTTTCAACAACAGGATAAATGCATTTTAATAGGGGTCATATATATATATATCAGAAATTAAATATTGACCGAGCTGTTAATAGTGAAAAATATATAATAATTATAAAACCCAGTAAATGTAAAAATAAAGTGTTTGATAAGTGTATTCAAAATTCTGTTGGGGTCGGTGCAATCACACACACTCTCCCCATACTGATTTCCATTATCGTGGGCTTCGGACTTGTGGTTGTGAACACAAAGGACCGCAAGGTAAACACAAGGTTTATTATACAGGCTATACGCTATTTTATAGCCTTTCACAGGCCTTCTGAACTTTCTTTTAATACATTTTGACCTTGTCTGTACAAAATCAGGGAGAAAAAAATCTTGGGGACGTAACCAAGAGAGGGTACTTTATTTACTGTACTGCTCCTGTATAAACCAATCAAGGTCGATCTAACAAGCAAAGCGGAAGAGTAATACGATATACATGAATAGGTGCCTGCCAGAATGAGACTCCATGAGTGGCAGTTCAGTAATGTTTTGGTGTGGGGTATGTAAATAATGCCCTGCTCGGATGTAAGGAGCCCAGATTGCCGCAAATATCGCTAACAGAGGTTTCCACGATGCTAGGAAAAGGTCACTTAAGGTTGTATCTGTGCTGTTTGGTGTACGTCATTCTTAGTATTGGCGGATGCAATGCACACGAGTGTCCATGGCCATGCCATTGCGATTTTAGGTCTTCAACACAGGGAATTTTCAACTGCTCTTATAGCCGTGCCTTGTCCCTGGATAAACCTATGCCACGTAATACAACTGTTCTGGATCTACGCTACACCGGTCTGTCTGAGATCCCACCTCACGTTTTTAGTCAACTGGAAAATCTGAAAATACTGTATGTCGGAGGCAACTACATAACATACTTTCATGAAGATAGTTTTGCAGGTTTATGGGCTTTGGAACATTTGGATTTGTCTCCCCTTTATTTGGAGACAAATTTCGATTACGAAGCATTCCCCGTGAGCTTGTTCCAGGACTTAACGCAGTTAAAAGTTCTGATATTTGGGAAAATGGGCATCACTGCGCAAGTGCAAAAAGGATATTTAGATCAAACATTAGCCCCCTTACATCGATTGCAACAGGTCTTTTTTCCTGGTCTACCACGGCGTAATTTGGTACTTGGTCCCGGTTACAGAAATCTCACCTCACTTAAAACAGTTGTGTTTCATGATCATGGATCCGTAGCACACCTTACGAAACACTCTTTTGCCACGGTGAAAAATTGTCCCATTGAACGGCTAGCTTTCATCGGATGCGGCCTTGACACCGTAGAATACGGCACAATGTCTTCATTTCCACATCTGAAAACACTGGATATAGAGGGTGCATCGTTCAGCACTGTAGGAGAGGTTGAAAACGTCATTTGTGATCTGAACAATACCGCCATTGAAGCGCTTCGCATGAGCAACATATTCTCATGGCCATATGGAAAACCAACTGTGCAAGAGTGGAAATTGTCTGTTAACACCTTTCAATGTTTGAAATCCACATCACTTAAGTCACTAGAATTACTTCATGATAGAATTACAGGAATTGACATTCAAAATTGTGATTTTTTAACTCATTTAGAATATTTAGATTTGTCTGGTAACGCCGTTTTATTTTTTTTAGAAAATTTTACACAACCAACCGGGTGGGATATTGTATATCATCAATTTCTATCACTCTCAAACCTTACTTTTTTTAGGATGGATTACAATATTTATCGCAAGTTTATGGTGAATGCCCGAGATGTTCCATCAAACTCATTTTGGTACGGCCATCCAAAGATACCTTTAGAACCAGCCAAATTTCAAAACTCATTGCAGAAAAAACATGAAGGTCCCCAACAAAACGATAATTTTAGTGGTCCAATTTTGAAAATAGCTTTGCCTGATAATATCGAATTCTGGTCTTCAAGCTGGTGGGGCATAGATGATAATACTTTTGAAAAATGCCACCATTTAAATACAGATTTTTATTTCTATCCAAACAAAGTCAGATATCTCAAAATAGAGGACCTGAATTTGAATGTAAAAGAATTTTGTCCCGTTTTATATGGCTTAGATAGGCTCGAGTTTCTGGATATTTCTCATAACAGCATTCAATACTTGCCAAAAATTTTTTTCAATAATTTCATCTCACTGCTATACTTGTATGTGAAAGATAACAATTTAGGTCCTTTAATTGCTAAAAGTGGTCTCCTTCCCATACAACTCCCACACTTAGAAATCCTCGATTTATCAGTGAACAAAATCAGCACAATACCAAAAGACTTTTTTGGCTATCTTGCTTCATTGAGACGTCTGGACCTCAGCGATAATCGAATATCAACATTATCTTTTACCATGATAAACTTACTTTCCATAGAATACATAGATATAAGCACTAATCAACTAACCGACGTCTCGACATCGGAGTTGGACTACATTAGGAATGTGAATGCCAGTAGCCTGAATGTTACTTTGAACATGAGCAACAATCCCATGGACTGCAACGTTTGCGACGGGATAGGATTTCTCCGTTTGATTATCCACTCCAACATGACGACAATATTCTCCAACGACTCCACCTGTTACGTGGATGGACCTGAAACAAGCTTAGAAAGCAACCTGAGTAGACTTGAGAGGGAATGCGATAACTTTCCACAGGTTATCACTTCACTAAACCATTGGCTTTCCTTGGGAGCATCTCTTGGTAGCATAGCTGCTGCGGCCTGTGGCCTTATAGTAGTTTACATTTACCGTTGGAATATTAAGTAAGTTGAGTATGAATGTGTAAAAAGGTTTCATTTTATATTGATTAAATACATGTCAAAAATGGACAGAAAATATATAATTTATAAAAAAAATTAGGGTTTGTTGTGCTCTTTTTGCAATATATATTGAGTATAGCGAATGAATATATAGAATATAGTATCAAAATAAAAATTAAAGCAAACAATTCTAATAAAATATTGGGTAAGTGGTCCACTGAAAACTAATAATGAAAAGATACAATTCAAACGAAACGTGTGTAAACGGTATATAAATATATATCGTGATTCCTGAGTACTTTTTTTTCTCTCACTATTATAGATACCACTTCTTCCTTCTTCGCCGCCATTTTCGAAAGAGAGGTTTCATGGGTGGAACACCTGGTCACGTGTACGCCTCCTATGACGACAAAGATTATCACTGGGTGACACACGTGCTGTTACGTCATCTAGAAGATGAGGATCAACTTGATGTCATCATAGATCAAAGAGATTTCATTTGTGGCGCTTCCCTTCCCGAGGCCATTGTAGAGGCCGTGGAGAACAGCAGGAAAACAGTGCTTGTCCTCTCTGAGAGCTACGTTCTCAACCCTTGGTGTGAGTTTGAGTTTCAGATGTCTCTTGCTCGTGGTTACCAATCAGTAATCCCGGTTATGTTGCAGCCTGTGCCATTTGATGCTATGACGAAATCACTGCGAAAATACATTAGAGCAAGAGGGTATATAAAGTGGACTGAGAAACAAGATGGGCAACGTCTGTTCTGGAAACGCCTCTCCGGCGCCATCTTTGATGATAATGATATTCATGCGCAGCCCGAGGAAGACGAATTGACTGAAATCATGTAGCTGAGTATATACTCCATTGATGGTTTTGGTATATATATAATTATTTGCTTAGAACTTATGATAACAAACCTGCCCATTGTAAACAGAAGTAAATCACAAGGTTTTCATTCTATTCAAAATGTATTTGACCATGAAAAGCAGTTTGTTACGCCACAGCGTCTGAGAACTGAGTTGAAGATACATATTTTAACTACGGATTAAGTAATATCTGATTGCAAATGTGTAATGTCACTATTGTTGTAAGCACAATTCAAACAGTACTGTATTATGTATAGACTTTTATGGGTGCATGTTTACATGAAATATGTCTAAAATATTTCAATCAATTTTAAACCTTAATTAAGGAAAAAAAGGAAATAAGCTATGGGTGATAGACTTGTAAGTGGCAACAAACTTTCAAACATTTTCTTGTTAATGTTAAGGAAGTGATATTAAAACGGTTCACCTAGGATGAAAAGAGTTTATTTCCTACCTGTAAAATATAAACAATCCTTACTGTAGCTTTTGTAAAATAACTTTAAAAGCAGCTAAACATCTGCTTATTGACCTTGAAATAGTTTAGCAATTGTGGATAGAAGTAAAGCACTGGATACACCAATAGGCGTTAGTTAAACAATATCATTTTTACAGATAATTGTGGAAAGTTGTAACAGTGTGTGAAATATTTTGAATTAAACTAAACCCTTTGTCAGTTTGAGAAGAAATAATACAACAAAGCACTGTAATTACTTTTGTGCAGTAGAGTGCAGATATGTGTGTGTGAAATCGAGCATATAACATTTTAATTATATTTACTGTATTTTCTATTTGATAAAAATAAATAGAACATTAGTTCTGAAAACTTATTTAGTAGAAATATAATGCTGCAGCTAACATTCAAGAGACAATATTCTTATGTTGTACCAGTTTAACAAAGACCGTCCAGTCATAAAATTCGATGGGTACAAGGGAATTCCCAGGAGCAGTTGGCGAATAAAATGTTTTGTATAGTCACTGGTTCTCCGAGTTAATTCAATAACATGAACAGGGGGAAAAAAAAGGACCTCTGAGGGTCTATTACAAACGTGCAACAGTATAAGTTATTTTAAATGCATGAATTTTGATATGTAGAAGCCATACATACTGGTATATATATTGTTAATAATAATAACAACAATAATAATAACAACAATAATAATAATTTCAAAATGATAATATCAGTAAAAAGCATACTAATGTTAACTCAGATAATAATAATAATAATAATAATAATAATAATAATCATAATAATAATAAACTCCTTTAGTTTAGGTTATAAAAATAAAGCGGTTAAAAAGATATTCAAATTTTTTTTTGGGGTGGGTGCAATCACACACACCCTCTGCCCCGAAGCATTTGCCATTGATTTTGTTTGTTTCAAGAATGTTTTGCTTTCTTTATTTTCCACGATGCATTCTGTATTTAGCAAATGTTAAAAAGCGCCATTTTGCAGACTAATAAAGAAGTGTGGTGTACTTATACCTGTGGGGATCTGACCTGTGGACACAAAGGACCGCAAGGCAAACACAGGATTAATTCTTTAGGCCATTTCAGACCTGTGCAGACCTTCCAAACTTTCCTTTAATAATGTTTCTGTACAAAAACAGGAGAAAAAACATATAGGGGAAGTGACAGAGAAGGTACTTATTTTACTGACCTGCTTGTGTTTAAACCAGTCATAGCCGGTTTCGCAACCAAAGCGGAAGGGTAATACGATATATTGTATAATGCAAGTCAAAGGCTTTTTTATTTCATAAATCGG